TCCCCGCTCTGGATGGGAGAAAGGAACTTCCTCGGAAGGCCCAGCAAGTGATTTTAGGAAAGGCCTATTTATCCTGGCCAGCACCTCGGACAAAAGGGCCCCTCTGGCGTTCTGAGATGAGAGACGGCTGTTGTCACCAGGCGGGAGTGACCACAGAGGTGCCAGGCTCACGTGGAGCTGCTGTGAGGCGTGGAAGACGCGGGGAGCATGGGATACTTACGGATTGGGACACTGCCAGTCGCCGGCTCGGTGCTGGACGCTCCCGCCGGAGGGGTTTCCCCGGGATCCCCGTGGTCCTCTCGAGGAGAAGCCACCCCTGTCTCCACCTCTGCCTCCCATCCGGCCCATGGGGCCGCTAGGCCCCCCTGGGCCACCGGGCCCCCCCGGACCTGCAAGGAAGGCTCCGTTAATGCCAGGAGGCACTGGCCAGGGCTGGAGCACAGGGCGCAGCTCGGCAGGTGCCGCACCTCCGGCCGTGCCCTGGGGGGGCCGGGGGGGGCTGGACGTTACCTCCGCGGAGCGGGGGAGGCATCCCCCGCTGCTCACGTGGGGGCATCCCGCCTCGCATGCTGTTCATCGGGCCCTTCTTCCGCGCCAGGGTAACTTTGAGCTTGCTCCCCTGGAAATCCTTCCCTAGGAGGAATACAAGGGCGAGAGCATCACTTTGTGCTGCAAACTTCTGCTCCTCGCCGGACCCTGGTATCACAACCGCTGCCCCAAGTCATTAATCACACGGAAAATTTTACCCAAGCGTCAAAGACAGCAGAAGGGCAAAATTCCACCCGTGGGACTGAGATAAACTTCCGCTACAGGAGATTACAGGTGACAGAAGCCTGAGCACCTGAGGACAACCACAACCCCAGCACCACGCTTATCTGTTCCAGTTAAAACCAGGAACTTCTTAGGCAAAAGCTTGACCACCTAGAGCTAGTCTTAAACGACTACAATCCTCCATGCACCGAGGGAAACGCTGACTTCGGTTGGACAAGAATTTAGTTTTGAAATCAAGAACAAAGCAATTCCATCCCAAAACACACCCCATACTCACCATCAAACCATTCGACAGCTGTTTTGGCAGTAGACGGGTCATCGTAAGACACCGTGGCGTCTCCTTTTGGTTTGCCGGTTTCCTTGTCGATGTAGAGGTTTATCATAGGCTGCCCAGTCCTCTTGTTCATCTAGCAGGACAGTAAAATGTCACCTCAAGTCACATCTCCCCATAAGCTGAGCGGGGATTTACTCTCCTCTGTTCTGCTTTCGACTTGAGACAATCCAGCCTCATTTTGGTGACTCCGTGGCAGAAGAAAGGGCACCTCTGGCTGCCCAGACAACCCAACAAATGAAGGAACCGGCCCAGAGCAGCGCTGCCTGGCCCAACAGGCCTTTCCCGTGTGTACCTGGCAGCGCAAGAACCGAGCTGCAGCCTCCCCACATCCTCCTCCGCTCTCCCCACCACCCCGACCCCTCGCGCTGTCACGCGTCCCAGCAGCAGCAGATCCGCAGAGATTCCTCCACGGCTGCAAGCGCTGGTGCTTCTGCAAGTCTAATCATGCTGTTGAGGGACAAATCCTGTAAAGGTTCCTTGGGAAAGCTTGAGCCAGAGGTCAACGCCAGGCTGTGGCCATCCTACTGCCCAACCAGGCAGAGACCTGCCAGCTCCTGGAAATGAAGGGCTAAGTGGAGTCGAGCAACGTGCAGGCAGGGAGGAGGTGGGCCATCCCCTTCCCTCACGCCCTACCAGCTGGAGGCCGACCTGCGCACGTGCGTTCCTCTCACCTTGACAACACCGCACTGTTTGAAGAAATCTGCCAGATCCTCCAGGGTCACATTATCATTGAGTCCCTGCACATAAACTGAACTGTTGTCTGAGTCCTCATCTGGGTCCATAGGTGGGCCTAGGAGACAATTCGTGGTGTCATTGCAGGGAGAGGAAAGGCAGCGGTACAACATAACGAGTACTTGTCATCACGTCACCCCCTCAGCCAGCTGCGGCTTCGCTCTCAATGAGCGTATTTATGAGGCGGCCTGAAAACCCAGGCACTGAGAGGCGGCTCTACACCACCTC